AGCCATCAGAAATTTGTTCGAGAAGTTGCTCTTGATCTCATCCAATTCCTTGCGGGTCTGAGGACGTGCGTGATCTGGGTTGTCACCCTGGCCTTCACCCTGGTCATCTGCATCACCGTCCTCAGCTACAGTATGCTGTTACTTAGACATTTGAAATTGTGGGGGGTCGGGAATACTTGTTAATCACATATGATTTTCAAATATACATGTGATTGATTGATAGTTGATAATTATCTGATTAATTGATGGATAGCGATGGGCCGAGGATTACCTATTTTAATTAAGAATGAGGTTGTTATATATATATATACTTAATAGGGTATGGATAGCTGGAACAGTCATTAGTACATTTGAATTTGATTCGATTAATTTAGCCATCATTTGTTAACCAAGATGAACCTAAGTGACATCAATCAATGAATTCATGTCATTCATATAATTAGTACATATAGAGCCCGGGCTAGAAAAAATAGGTTTGGTTATATGTTTGGTTTCCTGAAACCAAAAAATAAGGACAATGTAATTAATCCCTGACAAAACTTTCTGATCCATGCGGTCGTCAAAAAGGCTAGCACCTTTACTCAATTCCACGGCCCTGCCCAGAATCATGCCGTTCAAGCTCCAATCAAGGGCCAACTTGTAAAGCGCAACCACTGCTTGGAACCAGCTCTTGTACTTTGCCTGAGGGTTGGAAATTTAGTTGAATGGTGCTTGGTCTGGTCTAGTCAGCCCATTCAGAAATTCAATCCACCCATGACAGGTTGATAATTGGTTTAGCGTAAGTATTAGGAGTAATGTGGAAAGAACGGGCTATTAAGGATCCATAGGTGAGCAAACATTTGTTGAATAACAAAAACAATGTCATTAATCAAGAGAACTGGCTATCATTATTCATGTGTTCATGCTTGCGGGGACAGAACCGCGCACACACTTGCTCAGAACTGTCATTGCGGAATTTTGTTGTGGAATGCATTTTACCTGCAAAAACAATCCCTTTAACCTGACAAGAGCAGGTCACTGAAAGAACCTGAAAAACAGTGATCGAAGGAAGTTTAGAAGTCAAACTTCCGACAATATGGACAGATGAAAAGCAGAGCAGGGCAGAGGCAGAGAGAAGAGAAAGATTAGAAGAGAGAAGATCAGAGAAGAGAAAGAGTCAGAAGAAAAAAGATGCAGATGCGCGAAAAGGTAGGAAAGTCGCGAAACACTGTGTTTTTCCAATGATTTGTGGCTCCGGAGGGTCGAAAAGTAGGCTCGCTTAAGCGGCGGGTGCGGAGCCAGCTGGCCAGATGAGAGATGAAAAATTGCACGCCGTTTTGGCGCGAGGCCGCGAAGCACATTTCGAAGTCAAAATGCACAAAACACAGGGTTCGGACCACTTTTGAAGTTGAGATGTCGAAAAAAGTGCACGGCCGTTGTGGCGCGAAGCACATTTCCAAGTCCAAAATGTACAAAACAACCAGGGGTTTCGGACCACTTTGGAAGTTGAGATGTCGAAAAAGTGCACGCCGTTGTGGCGCGAAGCACATTTCCAAGTCAAAATGTACAAAACACACCAGGTTCGGACCACTTTTGGAAGTTGAGATGTCGAAAAAGTGCACGCCGTTGTGGCGCGAAGCACATTTCGAAGTCAAAAGTGTTAAAAACTGACGGTCTCGGACCACTTTTGGAGGTTCAGATGTCGAAAAAGTGTCGAAAAAGTGCACGCCGTTGTGGCGCGAAGCACATTTCGAAGTCAAAAGTGTAAAAAACTGAGGGTTTTGAGCCTTTTTTGACGTGAAGATGTCGAAAAAGTAGACACTGATTAACTTACTAACTTAACTAACTTCACTAACTTAACTACCCTAACTTCGACGACAACAGCAACAGCAACAGCAACAGCAACAGCAACAAACAACAACACCAACAACAACAACAACAACAACAACAACAACAACAACAACAACAACAACAACAACAACAACAACAACAACCACACCAACAAACCAACAACAACAACAACAACCACAACAACTACAACAACTACAAACAACTACAACAAACTACAACAACTACGCAACAACTACAACTACACTACAACACAACTCAACAACACGCAAACAACTACTCAAATACACTACAACAACTACAACACTACAACAACAACAACTACACACAACAAAGCAACAACAACAAACAACAACTACAACAACAACTACAACAACACAAACTACTACAACTACAACAGCTACAACTACCTACAAACCTACGCTACAACTATATGACTGCAACTACACTACACTAATTACATTACACCACAACTACAACTCCACTACGCTACAACTACAACTACAGTTGCAGTACATCACACTACATCCAGCAGTTGTGGGTGAGGTGACCACTGCAACCATTGCAACCACTCCAGCAAACACAACTCCAACCACCTTTCGGTCAATCAGTGGATTCGCTCTGCCATCCGTGATTCACAACAACCAACGTCTCTTATAGGTTTCCTATTCTGAAACTTCCGCCACCGCCTTGTGCGGTACTACTGGTAGCTGCCATAGCCAGTGCTAAATAGAGTGAATAGGAAGCTGACGCTTCCCCTATCAAGAAGTTTGCAGATTGCGACAACAGTGCAGAAAAGAAGTGTAGAACAAATCGACATGCCGGTTCTAGGCTTAGCCGGTTGCCATCAACGAGAAATTAATGAGCAAAAACTGAAATTGAAATGGCAGGTACGCTGGGTTGATCAGACCCAGTATATCCCATGATTGTGGTAGCTTCGTTGGGTGCGGTCCCACAATCATGCCGCACTCCCCTGCATCTAAAAGTATCAAGACATTAAGCAACACGGCGGTAAACCTGTTTGGTTCAGAAGAAACATTCTCACAGAATCAAACGAAAACCAGAGACTCACAACAGTAGAAGTTTTACATCTTTTCAGATGGTTCACACACACGCCCCGCTGCCACGGGGCCTTTTTTGGAAGAAGCAAGACAAATGCACTCCGAAACTCCAGTCAGCTGGGGCGGATCGTTTGATCAAAATGCCAGAGACTACCACAATGATGTGTAGTGAACCGAACTGATACATTTTTTTAATAGCTACAGGCCCGAATGGGCATCGTCATCCTCAGAAAAGTCCGCTGGGAAATCCTCCGGATTTGCAGTGCGGGCCATAACATTGGCGGTAACGGCCAAGTGGCTGCTAAGTTGCGAGAGCTCCGCCGAGGTGAACAATCGCAGGTTGCTTTCCGTAGGATCTTGTGACGGAATCCGGAGCAGTTCAAGGATCGGAGCATTGAAATCAGGATCCTGAAGCAGAGTATCATACAAGATATGCGCCAACTGGCTGATCTGGTGAGGCACCGACGTGCCTTGATCAGTTGGTTCTGGGGGATTGCCCAAGACGGACGTGTCATCCCCATCGTCTTCCACTGGTGAATTGCCGGTTGGAGCGTCAGGCCAATCATAGTGCTCATGTTGCTGATGCGGCTCAGTCTGATGAGAGGTATATGGGACCTCTGCAAGATGGAAGTAGCGACGCCAATAGTTGGCAAGACGAGAAGCTTCCATCCATCAATTGCATAGCCCCACTTGTCCTTCACATGACCCACAATTCCATGGAAGAAAAATTCCGGTCGACGGAAGCGCTCCGTGCCGTCCCGGAGGAATCGGTTTCGGTGACCCACAACTGTGTGTGTTTGTTTGAGCCATCACCCACATCGATCAGTTTGAACATCTGGGTGTGCACCACCCGTTGACTTGGTACGAATCACCACTCGTTGGCATGGGAACGGATTCAGAAAAGGATGTGTATCCGTATCCCGAGTTGGCAGGACCGGTCTGTCCCGTAGACATTCCTGGTAAAGGTGGGACAGGCCCTGAGGAGGATGGCATTCCCAAGTGAGGTCGAGGTCTGGTAGTTGACATAGGGGTCGACCAGGCATCCGTGCGAAGAAAGCGAGGGGAAGGCAGATTGGCCATCGATGAATCATGTTTTGTCATGCTGAAAGCGACAGCTGAGAGCTGGGAAATGGTTGCGGAAAAAGGAAACTCCGTGCCCAGAAACCATGAAAAACATGAAAAACTTGAAACTCATAAAAGAAAAGGAGAATGACACAGTAGTGGCAGCGACGCAGCAGCAAAATTGGTTATTTTCACGCCAAGGCTCTCACGGAAGGTAATTTGGCGGTAAAGCCTTATGACAAGACATCCGCATGATATATGGCTGGGTTGGGCTAGTGAAAGGTACCGGTGCCATGAAGATTCCAACTTCTTGTGCCTGGCTCCGGTTGGGGCGTTGTTCTTGGAGAAGACGACTGATAGTGTGAGGATTACAGTAATCCCTTCCTCCTAATACTAAACGTCCCCCCCTAATAATAAACACAGCAGGTAGTTTTTAGTATTACGGGGGTATTCAAAATTGGATTTCGAAACTTCCCCCTAATATTGAACTAAAACCCTTAATAATAAAAACTATTTTTTCCGATCTCAAAATCAATGAAATTTCTTTATATAACGTAATTAAAATATTGCCAAAAATTGGATTTCGAAGCTTCCCCCTAATATTAAATTAAAACCTTTGATAATAAAAACTATTTTTCTGATTTCAAAATCAATGAAATTTCTTTATATAACGTAATTAGAATATTGCCAAAAATGGGATTTCGAAGCTTCCCCCTAATATTAAACTCAAACCTTTGATAATAAAAACAATTTTTCCGATTTCAAAATCAATGAAATTTCTTTATATAACGCAATTAAAATATTGCCAAAAATTGGATTTCGAAGCTTCCCCCTAATACTAAACACCCCGGTGTTGACTAGTTTTTAATATTGGGGGGCAAACCCACAAATGGTAGGTTGATTTTTCAATTGTTTTTTATAGGGGATCAATTAAAAATCAGATTGGCCAATCTGAAATTTTCAAAAATTAGAGATGGACACTAGTTTTTAGTATAAGGAGGGGGTTTAGTAATAGGACGAGGGGATTGCGTAGTGCGAAAGTGTCGCCCGTCACGTCACTCCAACGGAGGTCCATGTCGTCGGAGTCGATAATCGTGTCAGGTCCACCACGGTCGCATGTTGCTGTGTCTCAAGTGCCTTGTTTCCAACTGAGGCGCCAGGAGCACTGCTCTGTGGCAAAGCACTGTTGTTCTTATCCCCCATTCTGGCGGATGCGGCAGCATGAAGAACAAGATGGGCTAATAAATCACATTATCCAGGTGGGTAAGCGGCACCACCGCTCGTATTCCATTTGTTCTGTGTCTTCCCCAGAAGTTTATGTTCGTGTTTATGACCACAAGATTTGCGAAGCGGCCCTTTGTAAACACCTAAGCAGTCAAATTTGGACAGCCCTAAGAAACACCGAGCGTCATCGACATGGAATGTGCCCAAAAACCGTGTGGGTTTGGGTGTAATCGCCCCAAACTTGCATTGCTGAATGACGAATGTAGTGGCCCCACAAGATGGGATCAAGTCCAAAACCTCATCCCATTGCCAAATTGAACCCGGCCGCTCATCTCGCGCCAGCAGGGTGTTCAATTATAAACTTGCCCCCCGCACGATGACAAGCTTTACAAGCCAAAATGCACTACTCCACAAACCAGCTCGCTTCGTTGACAACCTGTTTATTTTGTCGTCATGGCTTTCATGGAAAACCTTTGGGCCAGACAACATTTCTCAGCGGCCGCGGGCCCAGCCAATCTTGAAAGTGAAACCTCGCCCTGGAAAAAGTGTTGCAAGGCGGGGAAACAATCAAATAACAATCCCCCTCTTCGAGGGTTGCCAGAATATCATCCCATATAGACTTGTCTGTCAAGTCATGATCTGGTGAAAGCTCCAAGTCAAAACTCCTTGAGAGGCAGTGAAATGTGGCCACCATCGTGAGCCTTTTCCGGCGAACAAGTACATCACCTTCACCTTCGGTGGAGATGTGTGTTGAGGGTGTGCCTCCATGCCGGGTTTGTGAGCACACCCACCCCGTCAATTGGCAGGACGGGTCTTGTCCTTGCGTTGCACTGCAGGATGATCACCGTAGCATCCCTTAACTCTGCACTGATGCACTCTGTAGCACTTGCCATCGCAGTTGCCACCATTGTATGCGAAGCACAGATCACGCCCATCTGCAATCCAGCAAGTCTGGAGTCTTTGCCCTTTGATTTGCCACCTTTGCCCTTGCCCTTGCCCTTGAACCCTTGCGAGTTGGACTTGCCGCTGAAGCTACCCGTGTTGTTCAACCTGGGCCACTTGTTTGCAGGAGGTTCAGCACTGGAAGCAGCACGCAGCGCCACTGGCGTTGTGAAGAAGGACTCCTTCAAGTCCGCATCACGGATCACTGCACGCAAGGCCTGTGAACGTGTGGCCTTCATTGGTGACCAGCCTGAATGCTTGTTTCCTCAGCTTGTGCTCATAGGATAGCACAATGGCCCAATCAGGTCTAATTTTCTTCTGTGTCCCATCACCCTGTAATGATGGCACCTAAAAATCGCAGGACACGCTCCCCAAGGATGTAGTCAACAAACTTGTTATAAAGTCAGCAGCTTCCAAGTCATGTAACCAATTCTTCGCCCGATACCTCACTGACATGCAGAGCCATGATCTACTCTCATCACCTTTGCGGTACTCTTCGGTTGTTGTAGGCATTCGAGATTTGTTCTTGGTCCCAACCACGCGCAAATGGCCTGAAGAGTCCAAGGAGGATTGGATCCGTGAGCTCGAGGTGTCTTGCTGATGACCAGGTCTAGTGGGGAGGCCGTTGGCTCATTCAGTTCAATCTCTTCTGCCTTCAACGCCAATAGTCCGAACTGGGTGTCTCGGATTCGCACAAAGCACCATGAACCCTCTCGACTGCCTTGATCAAGGCCTGCCTCCCATGGGCTTGAAGGATCCCGGGTTGACCCAACACTTTCGCTTCAGCTCTAATCTCCACTTCCTTTGAGACAAACTCCTTAGCCACCTCCCATGCCGCCACAATGGCCGCCACTTCGGCACGGTTTTCAGGGGTGTCTTGGGGCACCGCGAAGTCATGAAGGCAAGCAGTGCGTATTATATCATCACCAATGGCACTGAATTTTCTCAATGAGCCATACCTGCGCGCTATTGCAGCTTGTCTCCTGACAGTGACGCCTGAGTCAGAAAGTATGAATTGCTGGTCGGAATTCCATGTTCTGTGCAATGAGCTCCCTATTCTGCAGCATCTGGATCCACAGCCATCGCAACGCGCAAAGCAGAAGAACCGCAAAATGGCAAGATTGTGAACTGCCATCAAATGACAAAGAAATGCAACTTGGGCTTCAAAAGAACAAGAAACAACTCAAAATGAGAACGGCATTGACCGTCTTGAAAAGAAGGTGTCCTAACACCAGATGGCACCCTAAGGTCTGAGCCATCACCAGCCCTTAGGCTTAAAACTAAACCAGCAGGTGCTTGTTGTCTTCACGTAAGCTGAGCCCACAATGCGTACATCACCAAAGATTCTCAATCACGTCCCAAGATGCCGCCAAGTCTAAACTTGCGGCGGTTTGCACTTGATTCAACTGCCCTTTGCACCTTGACACCTGAAATAATGATCGTTGTGCACATGAGAGATGTTCATCCCAAAAAATATGGTAGCTATATTTCAAATATTCAGTGGGCTCTCCAGCCCATAAATTTGATTTATTCAGCTGGCTCTCCAGCCCATACATGGAATTATTCAGTGGGCTCTCCAGCCCATAGATCTCAAATATTCAGTGGGCTCTCCAGCCAATAGATTTGAATCATTTAGCGGGCTCTCCAGCCCATAGATTTGAATCATTTAGTGGGCTGTCCAGCCCAATCCCTTCCCAGCCCATCAGGCCAAAGCAGCACTTTTTCTTGCCAAAATCTTTAGTGCGCAGATCTGGCTCATGGAGTCTTTACAAAATATTGTACATGGCCTCCTTTGACTGGCTGGCAATTTTGAGAAACAATTTGCATAGATATGGTGGGGCTAATGTCATCTCTTAACTTCTTAAGGCTTTGAATCTGGTAACCATAGCAGAAACAAATTCTTACAACAAAACGTTTTTTTGGGGGATTGGTTTTTGGACTTTCCAGTCCATCCATTCTTCTGTACCAGGGCTTCCCTATTCTTTGTGGGCCTTTTCAATTTCACTCAGCAATTCCCACTTCTCAGCTTTCCTCATATTGCGAATGAAATCCACAGTCTTCATCCTGCTTCTGTAGGAATTGCATCCAGCCCCTTGGATGGTCAGGGAAAACTGGGCTATCCAGCCCATAGTGAATAATGGGCTCTCCAGCCCGCTTGAATCAGAACACTCTAATTGCAAGCAAGGCTCTCATACATCCTTGGCAGTGAGTAGATCTTAGGCAGCTCTTCTTTGTGACATAGCTGCTACCAAGAAGTGAGGCAGCTTGGATATTAAGGGAATTTTGTTTGTGAGGAGATGGAAAAAAAGAGCTGCAGCCAACGCCTTAATGGCTACCCATACATGCCAAGCACCATTCAGTTTGCTGCCAGCATAGGTGAAGCTTTCAGTTTGCCATTCATGTTCCAAAGCCAAGCAAGTGGCTTCCCATGAAAGGAAACATGTGCATATTTTGTCTCACATAAATTTTCTCCATGGTTGATTCATATATGCTCAGGGCCATGCCAGTCAATTCGTTCTGCCATTGAGCTGCAATTGCCATGGATGCAGTGTCCCAGCAAGTGGTTGAAGAGGTCCAAGCCACCATGGCTGGCACAGATGGCATTTACCATAAGATTGAAAAGGTACTGACCATATTGGAAAGCAATGGCTGGGCCCAGAAGATGACCATTCAGCCCAAGGACATTCTTTGCCACCCTTCCAACAGAGGAGGTGCCATGCTTAGTTTCTATGATGCGTGGTCCAAAGGCAAAGCCATGCTGTCTGTTGGGCTCCAGAAGAAGCTTCTCCATGGGTCCATTGCCAGAGAAGTGTCCAAAAAAATCACCAAGAGAAGTGCCCAAATTGCCAAGAACCAGCAATTGGTGAAAGATTCACAGGGCCATTTGGCACCAGTGAGTGGCCAAGAGCGTTTCTTGGCTTCATTTTGTTTTTTTCCCATTTCACAGAAATTGCTTCTGTTTTTGATGTTGCTTGCAAATACACTATTTGGATCCAGTGCAGGCTTCCTTTCTTTGTCCAGCAGTCACACTGTGGCATTCCTGAGGGCAATGGAGGCAGGCGTGCCAGGCCCTGATGGCCGCCAAGCTGAAGTCTCCAAGGCAGACGGCAATGCATTGACCAAGGCTGGCTATGGGTGGTGATTTCCAGTGTGGTGGAAGAAGCCATTCCACAATTGGTAACATGGCTCCAATTGGGCATGAACAGCTCCAATTCCATTGGGAAGCCACAAACAGAATTGGAGCTTGCTGCCACTATAGCAACCATGTTCACCCAAGGCTTGGACTTAGCCCAGGCCATGAAAAGAGCCAAGGAAGACGACATCAAGTGCCAAGCCAGCTTGGAAGATGTCACCACATATGTCCAGAAGTTCGCAGGTGGCAAATCATTTCCATTGATTTTCTTTCTGGCCACCTTTGCCAAGCATTTTGGCAATGCCCAAATGATAGGCCAGGAGCTCATGGCCACCCTGGCCAACATGGACTTCAAGGTGCCAGGCCAGCTGTTCCCATTCATTCGACTTGCAGCATGGGCCACCATGGCCACTGGCAACCACAAAGCCATAGATGGATTTGCCAAGATCTTGTCCAAGTCTGACCTTGGCAGGCCTAAAAGCAACCAGACCATCTCCAAAACGACATGGAGGAGGTGGAAGTGGAGGATGAGGACAGCAGCAGCTCCATGACCAGTCCCCAGACAGTGCCCCCCCGGGGCAAGGCAGCCGCACCCGCCCAGACGCGGTCAAACGCTGCGGTGGCATGCCCCGCGGTGCCACCCTCGCAGCCTGCGGCGGCCTGCCCCGCAGCAGCACCGGCAGTGCCAGCAGTGGCATGCCCTGCAGCGGCTCCAGAGCCTGGCCGACGCTGTCCGCACACTCCACCTGGGTATGAGCGTGTGCGCGACAGCGAGAAGTGCGCTGCTCGCCTCCAGCGCGTTCCGGCCAGAGACACGACATCGACAGAGCCCGCAGATGCCCCCGCCGCCGCAGAAACGGAGGCGGCAACCGATCCGCTGCCGACCGCTGTCTCTACGACGCATGAAGGGGCAGCTCAGTGGCTTGGCCCTGCGGCGGAAGATAGCAACGGAGAAGGCGCAGCGGAGTTCACTGATGAGGCAGCTGCTGCAGATGGGGAGGCACCTGAACTCAAAGCTGCTGCTTCGCTTCAGAAAGCGGAAGAGAAAAAGGAGGAGCTGAAGCTGGAAAAACTCGAAGAGATCAAAGCCGAGATGAAAGAGGAGCCCATGGACGAAGTGGCTGAGCCCTCTGGCAGCGCTTCTTCGGCGGCGGCATGCCCCGCTCCACCAGTGCATCCGACTGGCTCCCGACGCAAGTCGCGTCGACATAAGTCACCGGTGGTGCACCGCGGTGTGCTGGCCCCACCTGTCCCTGCATATGCTCTCATGATCAGCAAGGAAGAGGTGGAGGAGCTCGAGGACGCCGAAGTGATTCCTGGACCTTGGACGCTGCAGCCGATCGAAGCCACTAGCCCTGCTTCTGAGTCATCAGAGGATTTATTTGCCGGTGGGGATTCCGGTCGCGGCAGTGCCTCCGGGGTCCGCAGACACCGCACCTGATAAATCCGATTGAGGTTTACCCGATCGGTCGAGGTCGCTCGTTCCTGCCTCTGGTGGCTGTTGAGGTCTGCCTGAGCCCCTCCCATGATAGTTCCACATGGCTGAGATGATATAGAGCTAAGGTTTGCTGAATCTTTGCACCTAGATTTGATCCTCATTTAAAAACCTGAGGAGTCACATAGACATGCACATATGAACATGCTACAACTTCATTGGTTAATTAATTAATTGATTGATTAATTAATTAATTAATTATTTAATTAGTTACTCAATTCTTTGATGTCAACATGACTGAGCAAGATTGACACAAGGTCAACTACATGGGCACTGAACTAAGAAGAACCACTACAATGTATTAATTATAATGTGTATTTCTTGGGAAACTAGTTCAAAAAAACAATGGCAACAACAGCAGAAACAGCAGCAGCATTGACACATTTTCCCTGCCAGCTGCTTGCCATGGCTTGTGATGTTTCAAAAAAATTAGGTAATCTGTTAATTACCTAGGTTCATCGTCAAGCTAGTGTTCATCCTCAGGTATTACCTGAGTCCTCTGGCTTCTCAATCCTTTGCTTCTTGCTGAGACCCGGGGGCTCAGAAACTTGATCTTCAGGAATTGGCTTCTGAGCATCTTTCTGCATTTTCTGATGCAGCTCCATCAAAGCCTGAGGGCTCAGACCAATAGCTTCCATCTGATGCAGAAGATCCTTAGCCTGCTGTTCTTTTAGCTTCCTCAGTTCCTCCTGAGCCTTTGCCATCTCTTCCTCCTCCTTCTTCTGAGCCAGGAAACCTTTCAGCTTCTCCTGAGCATCTAAGATGCCAAGCCTGAGCTGACCTAAGACACCTTGCTCCTCAGCCATCTGCTGAGCATCTTTGAAGATCCTCTGCATAGTGGCATCCTGAGCAGCATAGGCTTGCTCAACAAGCAGAAGCTTCTGAGAGAGGATGGCTTCCAGCTGCTCCACATCTGAGACATCAGGACTAAGGTCCATCCCCTTCAGCTGATTGATAGCCTGGCTGGTGCCATTCTCAGGGTCAATCTTAGCAAGCAATGACGTGCAGTACCCCTGAGCAAAGGTGGGGTCATCAGTCTGGGCAGCCATAGCAAAGGTAGCAGCTTCAGGTGGCTGAGAAGGTTCAGCATCAGCTTCAGCTTGAGGTTGCTGACAACAAGGAGGCTCAGCAGGCTTAGGTGGCTTCAGTTTATGCTTGAACTGAGCTGTCCAGTAAGGTTTTGAGGAGATTGACCTCTGCCAAGGCAATGGGGTCATGTTGAGAATCACCTGATAATACTGAGCAATGACTCTCTGAGGCCACCCATTGACATCCTGCAAGGTTGCAAAAGATGTGAAGAAAACTTTCAATCAGATATTAAAACTTAGTATAATTAATCAATTTTTCAATTAATCAATTAATTGATGAAGGCCATGCACCCATGCTCAGAGACACAAAGAACAAATGGATGCACGCATGTTCAAACCAATGTCCTTGCAGTTATTGCACCCATTCTGAAATGGGATCCTGCTGAGTTTCACCTTAGCATGGCACTGAGGACAAGCAACATCAGGCTCTCCATGATAGCGAGGGTAGCTGATGATCCTCTCAGTGCTTGATCCATGAGCAAAGAGGTCATCCACTGAGGGAAAGCTTTGTGGAATGAGCTTGAGCTGAGCATGGCCACCCTT